GTCATCATGTATGTGAGAATATAATTTTAGAGAGAAAGAGGAATTTATATTTAATCTATCAAAAGAGAGGATCTAAAGAAAGACATGATTCATGTATTATTACTCCTCCTTCTTTATCCAGGTATTACTCAACCTCAATATTCTGCAGTATAGATGTATCCAGTTATGCTGCTACAGCAATAGTGGGTGTGGTAAACTTCTTGACTACTCTCATCACTGTCTTTATTGTCGACAAGGTCAGTTGAATACAGTCTCCACCCCTTTACATGGGTCCTTTAGGTTGGACGTAAGACCCTATTGCTAGTTGGGGCACTGGGTATGTGTGTATCTATACTGGCAGCTGGTCTCCTTATTCATATCTTTAATGTTGATGAGGAGAGAGAGGGAGGGGGAGGGAGTGAAGAGGAGAGACAGGTTGTTGGATATTTTGTGGCTCTCCTGATTGTACTCTTTGTGTCTTTCTTTGCATCTACCTGGGGGTGAGTTAGGGATAGTGTTCTCATTCCTGTACTTAGTTTGGGAATATGGGAATGGGATGTTATACATGTATGTAGATAATACATGTAAGTGTGGTACCAAGAGGATTGTTATTATCAGACTCCTTGAATTGGCAGTAAACAAGATATAACTATAAAAGTTCCAATCATGCGTGGGGTGTTAGTAAAAGTAGAAACGAAACCAGAAATGGAAAGAAATAATCTCCCGATGTACATGTAATTTTAATTTTTGTTAGAAGTCTCCTAGTCATGCTAGGAGTCCCCTTCTTATGTTAGGAGTCCACTAGTTGTCTTAGGACTCCCCTAGTTGGCTTAGGAGTCCCCAAGGTTGGGTTTAGGGCTTAGTTTTTTTTTTAATTTTAGAGCGTCCCCTAGTCATGTTAGGAGTCCCCTAGTTAGGTTAGGAGTCCCCTAGTTAGGTTAGGAGTCCCCTAGTTAGGTTAGGAGTCCCCTACTTATGTTAGGAGTCCCCTACTTATGTTAGGAGTCCTCTAATTATGTTAGGAGTCCTCTAGTTTTTGTTTCTGTTCTGGTTTCTTTCCGTTTCTGGTTTTGTTTTGTTTCTACTTTTACTACTACCCATCATGCATGACAGTAGTTTGTGTATACACAGCCAAGAATTTATCA